GTCTGGGGGAGCTAGAATGTTTCCACTTGGCCCTCATGGACTCTGGATCTTAACACTATATCCATTTCTTGTATATCTAGGACAGCTGTCATCAATGCGCCTTTCCCTTTGTTCTTCATTGAGCACTTTGAGAATTTACTTTGCGCAAACTTTGTGTATATTCAGATCTTCATGAATGATTCTGTGCACAGTCGTCTCACTCAATTAAAACTGTGTTGCAATCGTCAACAGAGATGCAGGACGGTCCTCGTCCAGAAATACGATCAACTCCGGCGTCTTGTTGTCCATCTTCCCTCACACACTTCTCGGTGTCCCTCACAAACTCCTAACCTTCCTGTGCCAGCGGTAAACAGTCGCCTGGCTCAAAACGTAGTCCATAAGCAGTCTTGATCATGTCATAGCGTTTTTTGCAGAGCCTGGCACATTTCATTGCATAACGAGCCTCCAAACTGTCCTCACGTCCTGACTGCATTGTGGAACCAGTCAGTTGTAACAAGTGTTGAGAGTTCTTCAACCTCGAAACAAAAAAATTATCGAAACTTCGGGAGTGTAACTGGCATGTCTTTTCTTCACAACATAAGAGTGTAGAGCACTTTAGTAATTCACCAATATATTGCATTGGTCGTACACAATTACCATTGATAATAAAGGCAGTAGTAAAATATATACATAATATTAAAATACTCTTTTAAAGCCCAAATGAGGTTGTAATTTGGACACTTGTAAATTTTTGGTAAGATTGGTTCTCTTTTGTAATGCAGGTACTCCCCATGGATGGTAAAAATTTCAGTAAGATTGGTTCACTTTTGTTATGCAGGTACTTCTCATAGATGGAAAAAAAATAATTATGATTGATTCACTTTTGTTATGCAGGTACTCCTCATGGATGGTAAGGGTTTATATCACAACCCATACTCAAAAAATATCCTGCCAATCACCCGTGCGCGTGCCCGCTCGGTGGGGATTTTGAGACAAAGCGGTGTTTTCATTGAGGGATTTAACTGCCTCGGTTGGCTCAGGGTATAGTATACTATTTCGCATGGGGATGAAGAAAATTATTATCATTGTTTCATATATATCAAAAACGCAAATGACAAACGTACCAGTTGAGGTACCTGAATAAGGAAATACAAAGCTTAATGATGTACGAAAGTAAAATAATTAGAATATTCATTATTAACGTGATCAATTAAAATATAATAGCAAAGGAATAATTGATAGAATAGACAATGAAAGAATAATTATTAGAGCAAATTATGAAGAAAAAAAATAATACTGATAAAAAATAAATGACGAACAAGTATGGGCAACACTAACCTCGAGCGCCAGTTGGACGCGTGTTACCCCTACCCTTTTTGAGCTACCTTGTACCTGAACTACAATTAACAGTCGACCTTTCCTCAAAACAATAACCGTATTGTTGGATATTAAAACAGATGAATTTATTTTGGTTTGGGGGATGTACTATGATGTGAATTTGCCGTTTTCTGTGGTGTCTTGATAGATGTGATGATTCATTAGGTTGGAAGAACGTTTTCAATAGTTGTAGCTTGTACGTTTGCGTTCTTGTAGATATATATGATTATTTTTTGCAACTTTCTTACCCCCATCATATCACCAGGTATCAAAACTCCTGTTATATACTTTTAAATGCCAAAACATTCGAAGCTGAAACTGTATGGTGTCAAACGAAATAGTTTTTCAAACGCTATTTAAATGTGTGGAGGGAATTTGTTTCTATGCCGTATTGTGTGTATGTGTGTGCCCTGGATGGTTAGCGTACTTAGGCGGACGTTTTCATTTTTGTTCCGGCATTTGGGGTCCAGAATATTTACCAGATTAGATGAACTATTAATAAAAGTAAATTGATTATGGTGTCCAGTCGCATGGTTGGTCGTCGTGGTTCCGTCTGATCAATCCTGGATAATTTTCCTCAAATAGCGGTAACTACCTAAGTTCACAAAACATTCGTATCCGATACATTCACGTCTTCTCGGCCAAGTAAAGTCATTCATAGATAAACGGATATACAGTAAGCAGAAGCTCCGTCGTGCTCAACTAAATATCGAGGTCTCGCCGATCATTATACGGATAAACAGGAAGCCGGTCTGAAAATGTGGTTTGTTTTCACATGCACTATGTTACAGCCTGTAAAGATATCTCAGTGACAAAATAAGCTATTTTCTATTCAATTACTACGTATTTTTTTCGTGCACGTGAAATACAGTTCCTCTACAATGATAAGTACAGTTCAAAGAAAATAGATATTTACTCAATCAAGCGGAACGGAATCGGGAGGGGAACTCAGGTCAGGTTGGGTCATTAAGCTGAGGCGTATACTGACAGTATCCGTTCGTCTGTTTTATGATATAAATTTTTTTCTTCATTTTTGGAGTCCATTATCGACATTATTATTATTATATACCAACATGTATATTTCTGCACGTACGAATGTATGTATATAATATAAGGGTCGTGTACTTGGTGGACTTGAGGGTTCAAACTCCCTCATTTAAGTATAACTGTAGAGTAAAAAGAAAATACATTTACAAAAAAGGTCTGTGCGGATGTATGTATTGCTATGTAAACATTGAAAGACTAAATTATCTAAAAAAGTTTTTTTTCCAAACATATCCCATAAAGATTCCTAATATACCAAATATTTATATATATATATATATATATATATATATATATATATATATATATATATATATATATGTATATATATATCATATTATATAATATATAAGTATATATATATTATATATATACAATATATATGTTATATATATGCATATAGGCCTGCACACACACACAAACACACACACACATACACACACACACACACACACACACACACACACACACACACACACACACACACACACACACACACACACACACACACACACACACACACACACACACACACACACACATGTAAGCATATATCCATATATATATACACATACGTACATGCGTAAAGGTTTCATCACTCTGCAACCCTTTTCACCCCCGTACGCAAGACCCTTTGGCATTCCAGGAGATCCTTGAGGGTTTCGCAGCAGCGGAAGCCACCTAATGATGAAAGTGCAGAAGTACTTTTCTTCATAACTGACCTTGGCCTCGGCTAGCCTCACCTGTATATTGGGCATTTATGAAAGGCGTACATTTGAAAATTGATGAATTAATCTGAATTTACATACTGGAAACGTTTATTTTATAAGGAAAGGTAGGTATCCAATTTGCATATATATTTTTTTTATTAAATGTTTTTGTGTTTACCGCTGTCGTTCTGGGAGACCGAGGTACTGGGTCCTTATATACAGCTGCTACTAGGGAGAATTTAACTCTTTGATTTCCCTAGTTAAAGATGAATATTCGATTCATATCCAACCATAATCTTGTAATAAGTATGATTTATCTCTCTTTTGCTGTTCGGTTTTGAACTTGTGGTACAATAGGTTTGAAGAAATGAAATCAACTTGAGGAATCTTTTTTACTAGACCCGGAAAGAATTTCTGTCTCGAGTCGAGGTAGGAAAACAGGAAACGTCAAGGGGAATGGCTTCGTAGCATGACACTTTATAAATTAAATCACCATTATGTTACAGGTAAGGGGACGAACCATTATAAAAGCAGTGCATATGATGAAAGAAAGATATAATGCTATGGCAGGATAGGAAAACCAACAAAAGCTGTGGATTATTTGCTGTCGTAAAGGGGACGAGATTAAGAGGAAGGCTTGAGAAAATGATTCGATTATTCCCTGGAACCCCAATAAAAGGAGGAATGTGATAATTGTGATAACCGGGGACAAGAGGTATCCCATAGAAATCAATTCTGAGACCATTGGCAATCCCTTTTGAAGGAAAATTGCGGAAAACTTGATGAAGGGGTCTGTAGCTCAGGTGAGTCTCCCCCAGAAATTACCTGTGGCTTTGGTTACCTGTAGAGACAAGGCTGGTAATGTAAGAAGCGAATTTATGCTACAGGAGTAAATTTGCCAGTTTCTATCCTTTATTGTAAATAGGTATTCATTTGTTTTTAAGGCCTATTTGTAGATGCTGTAATTTGTACCCTAATTATTAGGGAACATATTAAAGTAAATACTATTAGACACTTACCTCTGTCCCTTTTAGTTATATGTATGCAATATAATTATTATGAAGTGCACACATTTTTGAATAGAGATTATCCTGTGTGCAAAATGCATAGAATCCAATTTACAAGTTCTACCTATTAGCCTGATAGGTAGAACTTGTAAGTTATATTCTGTGCATTTTGCGCACAGCATGATATCCTTTGAAAATGTGATTCAACACCAAATAGTGAATGCAACCAATCTCTTATCTTGTCAGAATATATGTGGTGGAAGTCTGTAATCTTATATGAGGGTAGCAATGGTGCACAACCTAAGACAGTTATGCAATACTATGCTTGTGTGAAGATTATATATTTATATAGATTTTAGACCTTTCATCACTGATCACATTGTCTTGAGTGTAATTTCAGGGTAAAAATATGTATATATACTTATTTTTTAAGTAACTGAATATGGTTAAATATAGTTTGACAGGTAATTCCTAACAATTTGGTTGCCATACTTTTGTGTGTGTGTGTGTGTGTGTGTGTGTGTGTGTGTGTGTGTGTGTGTGTGTGTGTGTGTGTGTGTGTGTGTGTGTGTGTGTGTGTGTGTGTGTGTGTGTTGGGGGGGGTGGGGCATATACTTGTACATGTACAAATACACACACACGCACACACACACATATATATATTTAGTATATAGATAGATAGATATAGATATGTATGTATTTATATGTATATGTATATCTACACACACATATTTATATATATGTGTGTGTGTGTGTTTGTATTTGTGTTTGTGTGTGTGCGTGTGTATGAGTGTGTGTGAGTGTGAGTGCGAGTGTGTAATTCCTTAAAATTGCCAGTTTTAGCAGTAAGAGAGAATTGACACTGAAAGAGCCTTTATTAACC